AGCAACTAATAGCTATTTATATCAACTACTGGTTCAACTACTGTACGTTAAAATGTTTTTCAACACTCGATAAAATTGCACAGTACTCTAAAAACATTTAATGAGGATTCCAATTCTACGTTAACAACTGGTACAATTACAACCGAAAAAACAGTGAGTTATGGGTTTCCTGTGTCTAATTATATGCACGTGTTGACAAGTTCGAAACCGACATAGACGTGATGATGGTTTTTCCAGCTAAATTATAGTAAATCTTCGCACTTTTCAAGAGTCCGAGGTAAGATTCTCTACAGAACTAATAGCATATAAGCGAACAAGCGATTTTGAGCGATGTTATTGGCATTAACCGATTAATTTTTTAAGGATCCGTTGTGTTTTGGTTTCCGCCAAAGGTCAAGTTGATGTCAAATTTGAGACCTTGTAGCGTTACTACCAAACAAGGATTTGTTTAAGCCACTCAAAGAATATTATTTCAGCATTACAATAACCATGTTTCACGTCGTTTAAAGGTTTAGCAAATTCAGAGTCGACTTTTTTGTTTACTACACTTTTTAAGGCTGTGAAAAGGGGGCTAGCGAAAAMTATTATCTTTATGTGTTYTAATCTTTCAAATGAACTCAAATTCACGCAAATGGTAAATAAGATATAGTATTACAAGGGCTCAAAATGATTTATCGGATAGTGTTGCTCAGTGTTCAGTTAAACATTCAAAAAGTCAAGCCAAAATTGAACGGCAAAATTAGCATATCTGCATGCCTATAGAAAATCTTGATTTTCTCCATTTAAAAGCGATATTTGAGCAAACCAAATACCTGGCGATTCTTAGGATACATTACCCTACCTAACAACAAAATATGAGTGAAATCGATTTTTGCACCRGTGCCACGATTTGTTTGACCGTTACAGACATTCACTCTTAAGAATTTCATGCCGACTGGAAAACTGGACAATTACTGGGAAACAGATATTTACGAGGTTATGGCCAAACCGAATCCCGAAATACCTGTTTATGTCGTGAGGAGAGAAGATGGAGTGGGAAGGAAGAAAACCCTTCATAGAAATATCCTGAAATTATGTCCCTTGCGGGTCGGCTCCGACTGTCGGGATGAGCAGGCTGCCCAGGATCCTCTTACCGATGATAGTGAGCTGGATGAAGTTCCTCAACAGAAGCTGCCTCAAGTACGCCGTTCAGCMAGAGYRAAGAGGAAACCGAAGTGGATGGATAGCCAGCAATGGAAAATTTAGGAAGCTCAACCAAAAAAAAAAGGGGGAATACTGTAGAATGTGTGGGTCAACTGTGTTCCAGGTCTCCCGGGAATTGTGGGCGGGGTTCCTCTGTATTTAGGGCGATACGCGGGCTCAGTGAGGGGCAGTAGTTTTCGGGAGCGTTTGAGGTAAACTGAGTAACGATAGGCCAGAGGACCTCGCAAAAATTCCTAAATAGCCTACGCCGACATAATCGTAGAAAGCTGTCTGAATAAAGTAGACTTAAAAGAAAAGAAGTTTACAGAGTATACATTAATCAGTGTGACTGTACTTCAAACTGGACTTCTCACTAGCTTGGAAAAGGTCAATTTTGTGGATTATTATTATTTTTTGTCCGGTAAAAAAAACCGTGCGTGTCATATATAAATAGCATACTTCTACACATGCACGTCAAATGTCGTTTATCATGGTGAGATGAAAAGGTAGGCTTCCAGATTGGTGCTCTTGGGTACATCGATAGTTCGGATAGCTAGTACCTTATTCAGATTAGCAGTTCGAAGACAATTTTACCCGTTGATATTTTTGGGACAGTTTTCTAATTTTCACTAGCTAGGCAAAGGGTACTATCGGATAGGACCCCTTGGCAAATTTACAATTGTGGTTTTTCATTTGCTAGTCAAAGCGGGCTATTCTTGGACCTCTTGCCCAAACGTAACATCTTCATTTTCACTCGCCAACAAGRGGAGACTATTCCTGGATGCATTGTCCAAATAACAACTGATAAAGTGAGGGAATGCTGGTCTTTGTTGAAGTGGCAGTATGTTCCATACGGATGGTGCTCTTCAGTAGAAGCTATTTTGAAAGGTTACATTTTTTTTTATTTTATATATTCAAGCATATTTAGCATGCATATCCTCTACGTGATTTGATGGAATCTTGCTGACTCAAAAGTATCAACGGGTGTAGGTTTTCCCAAGGACACCAAACTGGGACCCTATCTTTTCACCTCACTATGATAAACTACTTGTAACGTTCATGTTTAGAAGTATTCTCATTATGTATGGCATGCGGGTTGTTTACAGTGAATACAAACTGACAAAAGAGAGAATTTAAATCTGTTCTCTCAATCAGAAAAATTGGCCTTTTCCACAAGCGAAAAGGCCAGTATAAAGTGTACAGTCACTGATAAATGTAAACTCAATTCAATGTGACAATGTGGCTCTGCCACGATTGAATACCCGTCAAGACAATATAGCATGGATTTCTGTTATTTTGTATCATAAATGCAAAAATCTGAAATCCTTATATCTTGGGAGACCTATGTTTTTAAGCTGTGTTAAAATATGTGCAGTACAAAATAGCCGATCGTTTTTAATACTAATGTAAGCAAAGCATGGCACTATGAGATACATGATATAGAAACATGGAAAAGTTATATATACTGCTAGGAGAGAGGTTATTACGGCAGAAAGACCCTTGGAAAATTGATATAGTAATGGACTGCAGCTCCTTAGTTGAGGTGGGTATGAAAAGTTTTTGGTCGAGGAATATTTATTAATAAGTAATACTTGAATGTAGAGCACAGACTCATAGACCACTTCTAGTGGTTGTGCWCTATAGA